TTGCCAAAAAATATAAGCAGGGCTCTCTTGTGAGTCTTGAGCCTCGGTTGAGCAAATAAATTGTTGTTGTTGTTGACGAAAGTGGTTGTTGCAGTAGTATGGAATTAATGACTCACTCCTGCAATGGGAATGTGGAATTTCCACCACAGGCTCAGGATCCGTGAACAGAGGGTGAGCATTTGATTTGGGTAGACACTGATTTCATCATAATCATCGATTGTCAATAATCATCAATTGCCCATCATCATCATCATCGTTCTCAACAGGTGTCATCCATCAGCATCATCATTATCAATACTTGCTCATAATCAATAACTGGCAATCGCCATCACAATTTCTTTACAATCAATCACCATCTTTATCAATGCATGGCCATCATCATTGATTGGCATGCGGTCATTGTCGTTGTCATCAGTAACAGCAGCAACATTAAACGGCAATCATCAGCTAAACGAACTACTGTATACGACCACGTGAGAGAAACCACGAGATTAAACAAATACAAAGATCCCCCGTATAGCCTTGACAAGCTGTTGGGGAAAGTGCTGTGAGCGAGCATCTAATTCTATATTTGAAGCTTTCGTGACTGCAAGGATTCATATTCTTAGGTTTTTTTCGGTAAAGTCACGTAGGTACAAACGTCACGTAGGTACCTACGTGACTTTAAAAAAAACCTAAGAATATGAAAAAGCGAGCATCTATTTTGTCCGGCATGGCACACGAGAATGTGTGGGTGGTGTGGGTGGGTCAGCACCACGCCCGGCCCACTTTGTCTCCCCCAGTGCTGATGTTTACACACCGCACTAGCTACTCATTTAAGGCTGAGTTCACACACACACGCAAAGTCGGGAGGACAGGGTTTGTCGCGAATGATGTGTCGGTGTTAAGTGATTCGAGCCGTAATCTGCGATGGGCCTTGGGGGTAATTGATTCCGTGGAGGTGACACATTGGCGGCAGAATGCCTTCCACGCCTGTTCTTTGGGTGCTTGGTGTCCATTCACCAACGTCATGTGGATGTGCGTGCAAGGGTCTTGTGTTATATAAGTGTACAGGGATATGTTTACAGTCAGGGACAGTGCAACCCGGAGGTTCCAATTTCGATTTCCCGGTGCGGCAATTGGAGCAATTGTTAAGTTTTCTGAAATTCCCACCCGCCACCCAGAAATATAAGTGGGTACACAGACAGTCCGTCGATCGCCGTGTGGCGTGTGGTAAGGTAAAGTTGTGGGTGGGCACTTTCACCTCTTCCGAGACGTCTCGAGGGATTCTCGCAAGGCTCCCTCGAGTGAGGAAAGGGGACCCCTCCTTCCATCATTGTGCGCGAGTTAAGCAATTGCAGGTGCTGCCCCTTTGCCGTCATCGCACGCGTGGACAATCCGATGTGCACGGTATGCATGTGCCTTGTCGTCGTCGTCATCAGGAGTTGGCGGTGTGGGCTCACTTGAGCTCACTTTAACGAAGGCCGAACATCTCTGGTGGCCACCGTGGGCTGGTGTGGAAGTTGAAACGGGCACCACGTGGGTTACACAAGTAGCAGTTTAACACGTAGTCGTAGGCTTTCGTGACCAATATTATCCATAATAGATGGGGGGGGGGGGGGGGTTAGATCGCGGAAATGTGTCGTTAAACCCGCCACCACGCGACGCAGCCAATTGGTAAGGTTTGTCACGTAAACAAAACGTGCCAATTACTTATCGGTTCAGCAAAACCCGGCGTGTTGGAGAATAAAAACCCACGCAACATTTACAATTCGAGTAACTGTTACGTCCCGTCGGTAATTACAACCAGCCTCATCAGGCGACAGGCAGAATTGTCATTCATTTATATTGAACGCGATCAAACCCCAGCCCCCCCACGTCTATTACACTGGTCAACAAAACAAAAACATTATTTTCTGGCCTGGACTTTTGCAGCTGTTTTAGACTAATTTCAGGGTGCTGATTCCAAATCTGATCTCAGATTTGCTCTATCACATCATTTTTATGCTATCGGCATACCCCATTTTCATTGATTTTACCCGAAATTAACTCTGTCACTTATGATTGCAAGTTGTTGCGAGTCAGTGGCTGCTTTAGTGTTAAAATATAGTGCTGTATTTTTAGGATATTGTGTTTATAATATCATTTTATGTAGATATCCACATTTATTTAATATTTTTATTCTGCAGTTTTTATTGAAAATGCAATATTTGATATCTCAAAAACCTGATGTGATAGACAAAAACTGATGCCAGATTTGGAACCAGCACCCCAAAATTACCTTAAACCCCGTCGGAATACCTTATGCCAGAAAAAGTGTTATGCACAACAAAAGGCGTTTCGAGAGAAGAGAGATAGAGGCCACGGGGAAGCGGTTGCGGGTCCGATGTTGTGCCGGCGTTCGTGGTGTACTTGCCGCCGGAGGGCAACTTGAATCCCCCCCCCCCCACCCCTAAACAAACTCCACGAAACGCACCAAGGTGGCCCTTGGCATCCTCACCACTGGTTCGGGCAACACGCGTGCTCTACGGCAGGGGGTCAAACGACAAACATCAGCGACAAACGTCGTCGACGACGTCAATCGAGTCGACGCGGCGAGCAAAAGCGTTTGTTGGCTGCACGTGCTGGCGTGCTGCTACGCATTGGTTTAAACTGGTATAAAGGCGCGGCCCTGAAAATGTCTTGCTCATGCCACTGCTGCCGGAAGGACCACCACCACTAGAGAGAGAGAGATAGCTCTTGAGAAGCTAGAAATCTTCGTGTTTTGGCCTACTCTTCCACACTGTACTGTACAATGTTGGCATTGCGTCTGTTTGTTTGGACGGCGAACTCTTTAAAAGAGTCGAGGGGGAAGAGGTACGTTCGTTTCGCGTCTCGGAATGTGTGGGCGACGATGTTTGGGGGATGCGGCTGCTGTTACCCACGTCACATGTTTTTGGTGGAGCAATGGACATCGATGTTTAGATCTGCTTGGAATCAGCTATGATTTGTGTCTTTGACGTCCCTGTCGGCCCTGTTGCTGCTGCTGCGTCTTTATAATTCACGTGAAATGTCAATTATGCAGCAGCGTAGTTTGGGTTTTTTTGTTTGCTTGTTTATATATCTGTAAAGAAAACCTAACAAAATATGATCCTCCTTGTATTTGTCATCGTCCCGTTCCGTGTGTTCACGCGTAGTTTAAATGCAGAGCGCAGTTTTCACACGCATCGTCAACAGTAAGTTTACCGATTCTGCGTTTTATTGGTGGAGATCCTGTTCACAGTCACTGCTGGCGAACTCGGATCAGTAAACTACTCGGGGTTATGAGTTGTGACAAACACGCCAGTGTACAGCGTGGCCCAGATGTCACGTGACCCCCAATTAATCACCTAAAACTTAATTTGTTTATTTAAAAAGTATAGTTTATTTAAAACAGAAATTAACGTGCAAAGGAATATAAAATGTTAGGGGTCAATTAATTGGAGGTCACAATACATCTGCATCACGCAGGAGATGGCGCGCGTGAGACTGCATGCACGTGTAGAGCGAGCATGCTACAAAGCGGTGGTATCTCAGACAGAATAGCCGAGCAGGGTTATGAAGAAATAAATAAAAATAAACTACAATATTAGTTTTATTTTATTTAACCAGGTAAGGCCCACTGAGCTATATAGATCTTTTTCAGAAGCGACCTGGCCACAAATGATAGCTCAACGAAGTGGCTTATCATGTGGAAATGTATAGCAGCCAAATGCTCTAAACGCGTGTTTCTGAAAATGGAGGGGACAAAACCGGAGGACCCGGAAAAAAATCCACGCAACCACGGGGAAAGAGGACATGGAAACTCCAAATCAGTGGTTCTTAACCTTTTTGGAGGTACCGAACCCCACCAGTTTCACGTGCGCATTCACCGAACCCTTATTAATTGGAAAAATAAAATTTGATTTTTTCAAATTCAAAACATAGGTATATGTTTTACTGGTGCACAATCATACGAGTCGGGTGTGTGTCTTAACCTCCGCCGAAGCCCTGAGACTGACTCACCGAACCCCTGGGGTTCGATCGAACCCAGGTTAAGAACCACTGCTCCAAATATACAGCAGGCGTCAGTGTCGAGATCGAACCCACGATATCCTGTATATACCAGGCGAGGCGGTTAACATCTCCTAGCCACCGTGGCGCCCGTGACAATGTGGCGTGGAGTTGGCGTGTTTCCTAACACACGTACACAAAATACTTGAACAAAATAAAGAGAATGGCCCAACATCCCAAAGGAAATCATTCTGGAAATGAGTGAAACTTGACGATGCTTTTCATGCACGGTAAAGATATAAATGAGCGTGTTGGCGTTCATTTGGTTATAGGCAGTCCGTATGATTTTAGCTCTTTAACTGAGAATGCACATGAAGTTAAACATGAATAGGAATGTTTATAGTTTAATATTGTGCAAGGGTATGGTTTCCACATTTGAAGATTAACTGATAAAGCATATTACCATTGTGGTATACTTCTTTTTGAATATATAACAATTTCTAACTAAGCTCATGTTTGAAAATAGACACGTCGAAAGTAACATCTATAACGTGTGAACAAATTAAAATCGCTCAAATTTGTGATAACATGGAGTAAGTTTAACATGGTACAATTAGTAGTCAGTAGCTAACGTTTTATTTAGGATTTTACTACAAGTTAAAATATTTTTTACATTCAACACGTAACCCAGTTTCTCCATTGAAAAATCAGAATACACTGGGGCAAGAACATGCCACGGAATGTGCAATGGCCTACACAAAGCGAAATCCACAACACAGCCCCGAACAGGCACACACAAAAAAAAAACACACGGAGCGAATGTGGACGGGCTTTTCGCATGGCTATATAAAGGACACCATTCAATCAATGCGCGTCTCCGTCCAATCACACGGGGCGGCAGGCGGAGCTAGCGATGTGCAAGCCACGTGCCATTGGCTTGTGAGCCCCGGCTTGGTTTGATGATGGGTTGTACTGGGAGTAAGGCAGAGAGAACAGAGGGGGGACACAGCGCAGAGAGGCAGTGTGTGTGGTTGGTGGTGGTTAGTAGTGCTGCTGATGGTGGCTTGCAAATACTACCTCGGTCAAGTTTGCTGAGCTAAGCGCCGGCCCGCCTGCCAGCCTGTATATCCCTTGAACACTGGGGGGAGTTTGGGCTTGGAAGAACGACGAAGAGAGGGGGGGAGCAGGCGACGGTGCTGGTGCTGGTGGGGAGGAGGGGAGGATAAAGGGGGAGTGAAATAAGAGAGAGAGAGAAAAAAAGCCACCCGTGCTGACACTCGGCGAGACGCAGCGTGGGCGCACAGAGCACGCGGAGCGGTGGTCGACAGAGGCGGGCGACGTAGACGGACAGCGCGTATCCACGTCCCGTAGCGTTTCAAGTCGGCGCTGTGTTCCTACGCCGGGGGGGGGGGGGCTTTTTAGCAATCGACTGTCGGGCGGAGAAGCTTCTTTGTGCTCCTACCAAAGACAGGTTTCTTCACATCACCAGCTGTATACAGTGCAATCGGGAGAGTGGGAGGGGGAGAGACTGTGTGCGTGTATCTGTCGGATAACCTCCAACAGCGCACGGCAGCCGTAGCCCCAAAGAGACGAGCGGGGGGAACCCTTTTACTCTTAATTTGCTACAAAGCTCTCGCAAGAAGCAAGGCAAGCGGCAAGAAGCAAGCGGCAAAGCGAGCCCAGTCCGTCACTCCCGACTCCGCAGCGCGGCACACGGCACGAGGGGGGCCGATCTCGCTCCACTTGCATTCGTCCAGGTCGCGGTTTTTAAAAAAAAAATCATTGCGGGGTTCCAAATGATGGACGAGCAAGGTCGACTCTTGCAGAGCCACATCGGCGTGGGCATGGGCGCCTTGTCGGGCGCCGTGGGCATGGGTCACCCGCACATGGGACCTCCGGATGGGGTGGACGGTGGAGGATCCGGAGGCGGTAAACAGGACATCGGAGACATCCTGCAACAGATCATGACCATCACGGACCAGAGCTTAGACGAAGCCCAAGCCAGGTGAGATGCTCTAGCTTGTAATAAGAGCTGTAACAGTTGTTGTGTGGTTAACCGCGTACACACACATATGTATGTATGTGGTATTAACGTATAAGAGAGAGTGTGTGTGTGTGTACATGCGCGCGTGTGTGGTTAAATGTAGAGTCGGTCAAAAGTGTCTCTCAACTCCGTTGGCAACACTGAGCCAGCGGGTGGAAATTTCACGTTCCCTTGTTGTGTCTTCCATGGGTCAACCACCGTTGGCTTTCCACAAGGTGGTGCTCGATTTATCAACCCCGGAGCGATGATGATGATGATGGGCTGAGTCGACCCGCGCGACCGAGGTTTGAACTCCCAGCCTTCCTTCCGACCGAGTGGCGCACTCAGAACCCACGAACTCTACCTGCATGTGTAGTCTCATTGTCCAGTTTGTTTCTATCGAAAGTGGTCGTCGTGTGGATAGACCGGGACCCGTCATGGGAATGTGGAATTTACACAACTGGATCAGGTGCCCGCCACCTGATGAGACCCGTTTTGTTGCTAGTTTTTGGAAAACGCGTATTTTAAACACAACACGCTACTTTAAGCAAATTACTCTTGAGAAGTGTGCGTTTAAAGTATAATAATTGGACAATCCCGTGCAAGGAAGTCTTGAGACTCAATTAGGCTTTACTCGGTAAAGTATTACTCTCATAATGTGTGTATATACATACACACACGTGTGTGTATGTGTATATATCTCTATATGTGCGTATGTAAAGCGTATCTGGTGACGAAACTAATGCCGTCCCCGTGTTTTAAATTGCGTAAATTGTTTGGGTGCGCGGTGTGACTACTTCGCGTGCACACGCGCGTGGGGCCATCGGTGGCAGTGTCTTCTTGCCATGCGGGGGGAGCGGTGGCGCTGCGGTTAGCGCGCTACGCTGCGCTACGAACTCGGAGTCCCGAGATCGATTCCCGCTCACGGCCAATCTCCAGGTGACGATGATCTGAACCGGTTCCGAAGTCAACTCCGCGTTAAACGAGTGACCCGATGCGGTGTGTAGTGAACATCGCCACCGGGGAGACAAAGGCGGTCGGGCGTGGTGCTGGCCACACCACCCCCCTCGTGTGCCACAATGCCAGTGGACTTAGTCGGTGCTACTGCTCGCTAACGCCACTTGCCCCAACAGTCTGTTAAGGCTACACGGGGAGATCTTTGTCTTGCCATACACCCTATGTGTATGCAATAACCCAATGTGTTATTGTACAACATCAATTGCTTAGGTGAAAAAAAATGTCTCGTATTTTATTGAACGCTTATATAGTGCACGTAACAGTGTCATATTATTTGAATATAAAATTAAATCTATTTATTTGACACTTTAAATCATCGCATGCAGTCGCACACGATAATCCGCCCAGCCGTGTTATTACGCGATAGTATTGTGCTGATACGATGCATAATGTTGTATCGCTGTCGCTCATTGACCAAGTGTGGTGAAGTATGGTCAAACAACCCCACGTGACCCCACGTGACCCCACACACCGTGGGGGAAGCCTTCATCTAGCAGCGGCTTTCACAAAGAGCTGCAAATATTATTGTTGTTATCATTATTATCCGTAGCAGTGTAATTGCAGCGTATAAACATTTATTATTTGTCTATTATAAATAAGATAAAACATTACCAAAGCATCCTCCTATAACGCACACAAAAAGGCAAAGATCACCCGTGTAGCCTTAATAGACTTGGGGCAAGTGCTGTTAGCGAGCACCCTACCGAAGGTCGGCACGGCACACGAGAGTAGTTGGGGATGGACCAAAGCACCGCGCCCGGCCGCCTTTGTCTCCCCAGTGGCGATGTTGACACATCGCACCGGGTACTCAATTCGAGGCCGAGTCGACCTAGAGGGGAAGCCCGTAACCACACCACGCTGTACAACATACCGAGGTGTGTATATGTCTCGTCTCGACCTGGTACTTGCACATTAAACATGTGTGTGTGTTGGTGGTGGTGTATTTGTGCAAAGGCGGTCGGGCGTGGTGCTGGCCACCCACCCCCTCGTGTACCGTTCCGGCCTTCATAGGTGCTCGCTAACAGCACTTGCCCCTATAGTCTGTTAAGGCTACACGGGTAATCTTTGTATTTGTGTGCGCGTGGTATGCGATGCTCGCTACGAGCACGTGCCTCCTTACGGTCTATTAAGGGGGGGGAGGATGCGGAAATCTGTTGTCTTCGTGGCACACGGCAAGAGTTGAACCAGCAATGTTCGGGGGACAACATTCGTAACAATTGCACGTTGTGTGTATATATATACACAAAGACAAAGATCCCCCGTATAGCCTTGACAGACTGTAGGGGCAAGTGCTGTTAGCGAGCACCTATGAAAGCCGGAACCGTACACGAGGGGGTGGGTGGCCAGTACCACGCTCGATCGCCTTTGTCTCCCCAGTGGCGATGTTACACCCCGAACTAGGTACTCTTTTGAGGCTGAGTCGACCTAGGGGAAGCCCAGGACCGGTTCAGTTAATCGTCACCGGTGTTGGCCGTGGACGCCAATCGAACCCGGGTGGCCAGGTTCGATATGCGCGCTAACCGCTGCACCACCGCTCCCCATTCTACCTACACACACACAGGTGGAGCTCGTGAAGAGTTAGGCCGTGCTAAGTTCATGGAAACTCGGGGGTGCTCTCACCTCTGGCAGTGTAGCAGCAGCAGCAAGAGACTGGGGGGCTGCATTAACGATTAGCACGAGACGACGTCCCTCGTCTGAAGGGGTCTCGTCAACTTGGCACAGAAGTTGTGCAAAGTCGTCGTTTTGCTCAGCTCACGATGTTTGGGAGATGTTGAATTTGGCTGTACATTGTGCGAGTTGCTTGTGCAATAGCGTTCGTGTGTGTGTATATATATACATAATTGTGTGCGTGTTTTAGTTTGTACACCTGGTATTGTAACAATGCACACGCGTGTTTGTATATACAGTACACACAACATTTCCGCGTAGTGTGTATACCATGCACATAATTATATTTGTGTGCATATACAGGCCACAGCATAACGCATGGTTTGTGTTATCGGCTTATTGTGTGTGTGTATGGGGGTTGGGGGGAAATTCCATAGTAACAGAATTACACAATATTAACAGCGGAATTACACAATATTAACAATGGAATTACACAATATTAACAATGGAATTACACAATAGTAACAATGGAATTACACAATTACAAAACAATGGAATGACACAATATTGACAATGGAATGACACAATATTAACAATGGAATTACACAATATTAACGGAATTGCACAATTATAAAACAATGCAATGACACAATTATAGAACAATTGAATTACACAATATTAACAATGGAATTACACTATGAATAATGGAATTACACAATATTAACAACGAATTATACAATATTAACACTGGAATTACACAATATTAACAATGGAATTACACAATTTTAAAACAATGGAATTACACAATCTTAACAAAGGAATTACACAATATTAGCAATGCGGGCGCAAACAATAGCCGCGGCACCGACTTTCATTGTCATGACGTTGAACAAAACGACGCGAGCCCAAATGATAATTCCTGTGAACTTCTGTGATTTGGTAAAGGGACTGCCCCCGTGCTGTGATTCCGTACACCCTGGAGCTCTTTCTCAACGCATACACACCACGTAGCTATACAGTACTCCAGATCTAATAATGTGTTTTGTAAATTCACGAATGTGTTCACGCGTGCCCGATGTGTGTCTGCAGATAATATCGCACGGGATATTCGTATCCGTGTACTCGTGACGTTTCGTAAATGCAGCGTATTGCAATACAATGCTGGTACATTGCAATATTGACTTGGCGTTCATTACTACGAGTTGCTAACCCGTTCACACAGTCCTTGCTTCTTAGTAGAATGACAAAATCGGTATCCCAAACCCAAATTGTTGTGTGCTTGTGCATACGCTCATAAACATAGCCCATATGGCGCTGTATTGGCAGCGTACCGTGCGAAAAAAGTTCAACACACGCAAGGCAGACAACGTTGGTTCATCGTGGCAATTGAACTTCGCCTGCCCAAGTACGTGTACGTTCGTGTATATACATCTGTGTGTGCACAACACTCGCCTGCGTACCGGGCGTGCGTAATTTTGTGCTATGTCACTTTACGCACCGCAGTTGATCTAAGCGGGGTTAGTCACCAAGTGGATAAGGCTCGACCCGCGGGGGCGGGGGGGTGAGTTCGTAGTAGCGTGCACGTCAAGTAAACCGGGGTGGGTGGGGTGGCATCGTTTACGCGAACTCGTGATAAGTTTCTATTGTGTAATTGACTCATTAAGTTGCACGTGAGATTAATAATTCACAAACGCCACAAGTAAATGGCGAGGCACGCGCTCACACGCACCACAGCATGGTGATCATTTAAATTCTACTAAAACACCCAATACTCATCTCTCGCGCGCCTACGTGAAATGGAGTGGAGTAGTGGCGCAGTGGTTAGCGTGCTACGCTATGAAACCCATCAACCTGAGTTCGAGTCTCAGCCCTAGCAAACATCAGTGACGAGGGATATCTGAACGCGCGTTCCCCCTTCACAGATTCGCATTGACCAGTGTGGTGAAGTATGGTAAAAACCCCGTGGCAAGACTAATACGGTGCTAGGGGAGGTATTCATCCGGTAATGGATTAACAAAGAGCTGCATAGTGATGTACAGTTGTATCTATGTACTTCTTAAAACGAGTGCATTTACAATGCTTACAATGTCTTGCGGCCTTTAATTTAATTTGTAAAGATATAGTTTAAAAGAAGACTTGACCGCACATATTTCTCGGAGGCGATCTCTGCGTGACAATGTTACGGTCAAGTTAGAGTGATGCATTAATAATCATGGCAACATTTAGGCGCAGTCGAAGCCGCGTCTCTTACCGAGATTAAGGCCAGATGATATGACATGTTGTGTCCTGGCTCACAAAGGTCAAGCGCATTACATTGGCGGTGACGTGGCCGCGCGTTGCAGTTCGAGGACGAACGGCCGTCCTGGTTAATACTGCGGTTTATATTCCTGGTTAACGCTGCGGTTCGTATTAAATATCCCGTGACGTTATTTGAAAGAAAAAAAAAACTCGGATCTGAATATCAGAATCCGAATATTTATTTATACCGGAGGAATCCGTAGAGACGTAAAGATATTTTTCACAGATGTCCAGTCGTGTCGCAGGCTCGGTTGGCCACGCGTGTGGGCGACGGTCGCCGTCGAAAAAGTGTCCGAATGTTGACAATTACTCGCAAATTACCCGATTTGGTGAAGCCACGTGAAGCAATATCGCCCCACGCTGACTGCGCAACTATTGCAGA